GCCTTGTTTATCATGCCTAATAGCCCCTCCTTTAAGCTCTTTTGGTCACACTAAAGTCGTATTGGTCTTATGTTTTCAAGTTGCATGCATTTTTGTAGCTATGTCATATTTTATCACATAATCAATTCATTTAATGTGTGACATAAAATAATAAAATAAAGTGCATAATATTAACTCATTTTAGGTGGGAAAAATGGTTAAGGGTAAATGAAGATAAAATGCCTCACAATAACCAAGTGTGTGGGTGCTTACACAAGACACAAGCTTAGACCAAACTAAAATTCCTTAGAGAAATAACCTTAAATGTTATCTTTCCTCAATAACTATCAAATTAAAATAAATTAATCAAAACTAATTGCACCAATTATAATCCCAATGCTTAACATTTAATTTCTGAAAAATTGCTCCTAATACATGTGTAAAATGGCCTAGCATAACTAAGAAAATATATAAATAATGTGTCTCATCAATTTTCACGGTTAATTTCTCTCTTTGTCTTTTGTCTCTGTATAGATATTCACTTACTAAAGATAATCTTGCTCAAAAAATATGATCGAGCATTAAATATGTGACCCTTTTCTAAGTTCCATACTTTTAGCAAGGATTTAAATATTGATTTGTCATGTTATAATGGACCCACTCCTTCTATATTAACCAACCTTTATTGGCTGGACAGTTAATTTCTATGCAATGCAAGGAGGAGCATAAGATGATTTTTAATTTGTACATTGCATCATAAGGTCCCGTATTGCTGACAATATGATCCTCTCTGATTTATAAGAAGCTAGTTCTGTGTTTGGCTATTTCTGCTTTATATGGATGGATTGGGATTTGAGAACTCTTGTGAACTGAACCAAAGGTCTAGTAATAATGTCAAAATTTGAAAGGAGAGATATAGTAAGGTCTAATGAGAAATGTTATAAAAACTCAGAAAACAATTTAATTTAATTTCAGCCAGAATCGATCATCATTGATGTCAAACTGGCCAAGAGAGTGTGTAATTTTATACAGGGATCCAATGGCTTGACTTTATTTTATTTAGGCCCAAATTAGGTCGTCTTTTATTGGGCGAAGCATGGTTCAATAAGGAGCATAGTTCTCGGGTGTTCATCAGTGAGATTTTGGTCCACAATGCATCGCGGAAAGTTTTGGAAATACACTTCGCCCAAAGCTTCCAATTTTGTTGGACCGTTATGGTCAAGCCCATGTTTGTTATGTCAGCAAGAGCTGCTGCCTAGAAGCTGTGAGATGAGCCTACATTTAGTATTTGATAGCATTTTAAATACAATTGCTTTCAATAGAATAATAGAATTAGGAACCCAAAAAAAAAAAAAAAAACGCCTATCTTGGAAGCAAATTTATAGTTGCACTTTTATAACTTTACAACAACATAAAATTCGTGAGCCTGGGTGTTGTTTCTGACATGGTATCAAAACTCAATCAAGTTTGGCAAGTCACAATTAAACAAGTGATTCGGTGAGTGAACCAATCCCCAGATCAGTCAAGTTAAGAGTCTTGGACAAATCTATCAAGTTGAATGTTTTTTTTTTCCTCCCCTTACTATATCATTTTGGGAAAAAAAAAAAAGCGATCTATCATATTTGTGCTTTGGCAACCCTATCTTGTTGGATTACATGTGGTTTGTATATCAATATGTTCTATTTATCTGTGTATTAATACCTTTTTATTTGAATTTTAATATTTTCAAGATTATTACGTGAATATTTTTATATATTTCAATTAAATTATATTATTTTGATAATTACTGGATTGACCCTGAAATAATTCAACCAGTACAATTAGACCGCCAACTGTTGATATATCGTATTGATCAGTTCAATAGTCCGTTTTTCAAAATCACTATTGGTTCTGCGTTCTCTTGGAGCAAACTTCTCTTTGAGGATTGTTTTCTGTTAGCTAAACAAGGAGGGAGTTTTATAATGGTATCTGGTGCTCCTTTCAAAGTACATACAGATCATGAGAAAGGAATAAAGAGTTACAGATGCGGGCAATAACTCAAAATATTCGGTGGAGCACTGAGACGATGATAATCTTTAAAACACACATGTAATCTGATGTTTAGCTTTGTTTATCAGTGCCTGCAGGTTCTGGAGATGAGTGTATATGGAGGGAGATGAGTCTGGAATGATGTTGAGTGTGCGTGAAAGAGGAACAAGAAAAGAAGCGTTTTGCTTTGAGTTGAATAAGAAACCCGAGCCCCAAGTAATTAGGCAAAGCTTTGCAATTTGACCTTCCCTTCGTCTATAAGCATCGTATCCTCCAACTTTTCTTCTCCAATATAAAAAGCCTGCTCTTTTTGGGTAAGCTGCTACAAAATAATACAAGATCGTGTCAATGTTGAAAATAATTGCATCATTTATTCTGCTTTATCTTGCTCATTATTATTCATTAATCGTTTTCAATACTACAATAGTAACTTATACCCATCATTTCTTTTTTCAGAAGGTGATACCATTTTTTTTTTTTGACCTTTTTTCTTGATTCCTTATCTTCCGAGTTAAGTTTCATTCAAATCTTTCAATTTCATTGGGTTTTCTTTCAGTCCTAAACTTTCATGTTACGTTTAATTTATATTTTTGGTTGATTTTTCTTTCGTGTTTTATTTCTTTTATGCTAATTCATTTACTAGTTTTAAAAATTCAAATATTTTCTCCCAACAGTATCAAATTTTAGTAATTAAAATTAAATTGATATTTAGAAAAATTACAATGAAAACCTTTATTGGGAGAGATTGTTTGGAGGAATCAAGATCAATTTAAGTGCCAAATGCATAACAAGCCTATCCAGCTTATCACCTTGCACCCTTACACTCCAAGTTTATCATGTTGCATTCAAGTTAATGATTTGCATACCATAACTATAATTTTGCACCGCAAGCATATTATGCTTACACGCCGTAAAAGTGTAAATTTTGTAAAAATACAATCTATTGTTTTAAAAGTGACAGTTTATAAAAAAAAAATGATAACATGTACAGTGGATTGTTCATATTAGAACCAATAATTTAAACCAAGCCTGATAGGTTAGCCCAAATCAGCCAAAAAAATTAAAGGCTAAGCTCAAAAAATAATAGTAATTTTTTAATGTTTGAATATATTCAAGCCAGCTAAAATTTGGACCAAGCTCGATCGGGCTCAAACTTGACTCGAATACCAAAATAAAAAAAATTAAAAAAATATATAAGATATAGTAAATATTAATTAATTACTTAGGTTTTATAATATTTTATACTAAAATACTATATATTTGAGTGCATTACTATAGTTATTTTAAGAAAATAAAAATATTTATATTTTCATATTTTTATTATTTTTAGCCAATAAAATTTCTCAAAATCATATTTTAAATATATTTTAATATTAATATTTATATTTTAAGACCTACTTTTTTAACAAAAATTTTGAGTCCTACACATCATTTGCATATCCAAAAAAATATATTTTATATTTTTATAAAATAAAATAATTAATTTAAAATTTAAAATAAAATTTAAAATAAATTTAAAAATAAAATTCTAGCATGTACAAATTTTATACTTTACTATTAGATAAACATAATAAATAGAATATTATCTTGAATAATCATTTGGTTATCATCTATGTCATATTTGATTAAAAATTAAGAATAAATTAGAGTAAATATCCCTTATACGTGGGGTTTAAATAATATGAAAAGTTAAAAAAAAATTCCAAAAAAATATTATTTTACTTGTAGTTAAATAATTTTATTTTATATAATATAATTATGGCTATTTTTTTATATTCTTAAAAAATAAAAAGTATAATTTACCTAAAAGTTATTAAAAATTTTGAACTAATCAAGGCAATAATTTTAAGTTAGTAGACTAATAGTAATTAAATTGAAATTAACTTAATCATAATTAAAATAATATAATTTAATTAAAATATATACAATATTTATATATGATCATGATAAAAGCTATATTTAAACAATTACGATATTAATTTACAAGTAAAGGAAACATTTATGAATAAATTATACATATTATAATAAAACAATAACAAAGCTACTTAAGTATAAAATTGATAAGTTATTATTTTTAATTTTATTTTTTAAAATTTAAAATAATATTTTATGCTTAATAAAATTATTTAAAAATTAAAATTAAATTTAAAAAATAAAAAATATATTTATAAAAAGTTTTGAGTATTTGGATCAACCTCTCATAAGCCCATATTAGGATAGAATTTGGTTATATAAATTTTTTTAAAAATGAATAAGATATTTTAAATTCGATCTAAATGAGTCCAACCTGTCTGAATTATTGGCTTCAATTCATATTATAAGCATATAAATTACATGGCATTTTTAAAGACTGATATGTAACTTTGTTGTATAAAGTTATAAGCATAGTATGTTAAGTGGTAGTTTTGAAATACAAGGTGACAAGTTTGGGGTGTAAAATTATAGGCTTGGTTTTCCAGCCATAGATTTAGAGTGTTTTTGGTCCTTAAATTAATCTTTATCTCTCAAAACAATTTCGCTTACGTGGAGGGATTTTATGATAATTTTTCTTTAATATTTCCTCAATGACCTTTTAGAAAATTACATTGAAATTTATATGGTATAAAAAATAAAATTATTTCTTTCGGCCAAAAAAATAAAATTACTTAATTATATTATCATGTAAATAATGGGACTGCATTATTAATTTTTGATCAAGTTGGAGGCTCCAATCACCGTAGCGTCTGTCATCAAAATAGTGAGTTTCCACTGGCCCTAGGGCTTTCTTTTCCTGGGATCCAAACAGTAAGAAATAAAAATATCAAAGGGTTTCCAAATTTTATACTACAAAAAATTGTTTAGTAATTTAATTTCCAATTCTATCCTCATAGCCAGGGATTGCCGTCATCCACCGGGCAAGGAGATCCCGTGTCAATTAAGTAATTTAGAAATGTATTTATATAGAATGGCTAGCATGTGTCGTGTCTCGATAGTTTCAGAAGAATTCCTTTTTTTGAAATTGCGGCCTTCTCTCTGCTCCGCGTACCGCCATTCTCTCTCACCGTGTGAATCCGCAGGCCTAAAAAACTACGAGCGCCTGCGCCTTCTTCGCCGCCCATCGCAATTTCAAAGCCCCCCTGCCCCACTCTCTCTCTCTCTCTCTCTCTCTCTCTCTCTTGGCGGTACCAGTTGATAGTTCATTGCCTCCATATAGATATTACATATTATACACTAGGCCCTCGTTTTTCCTTTTAGTACAATGTTTTCCATCATTCTCTACTTGTTGTAGAACATATCTTGATCTCTTCTCTCTGTTTCTAATTCCGGGTTCTGGGGTAACCGCCTCTTATAAGGATAGAATACTATTTGGCGGCGAGTTTTAGTACAAGACATCGATTTTACAGGGATGGACTATAGTGTTTAATTCTTTTTCTTTTGCTAATTTTCCAACCTGTTGATTGAGTATCGGAATATCTTGGTTCTGTGATTTCTGGTTGTCGGGGGTTGTGATTCTTGCATTTTTTTGCTCCTAGTAATTCGTGGTTCTCTAGATGGCTTCATTACTCTTCCAATTGTTTAATCTGTAAATACTTCGTATTTTGGTATTTGTTCTTATCGTTGTTCCTTAACACTGTAGTCTGGGTAGCTTTTTAACGACGCTCGAATATTTCCCCGTTTCTTCTGTTTATATTGTTATCATGGAACGAGCAATCTTTAGTCACGATGAGTGTCTACCAAAGTTCAAATTCGATGACACTGCAAGTGAGTTTGGATCTTCATCTCCTGATAATTCAATTGAGCAAGACTCTGGAGATCGGTCAGATCATATGAATATCAAGAAGTCGGTTTCGGAGCCCACAAGCAACGAAAATTCTACCGTTTCTGATTGCGAAAGTAGTGTTTCCGGAGGCAACTACGCGCAGCTTAGTTTGTTCGATGGAGGATTTGTGAGACTACGAGAAGGTGACAGGGTTCACGATCTTATTCAGAGAAGGTTCATTCTGAGTTTGGGGTTGCTTGGGGCACAAACCAAAGTTGTTGCGATTCACAGAAATGCTTATTCCAGCGTTATGGCACAAGCCAGGGTTCAATCGTTTCAGCTTTATCTGCAAGCAATGCAGAAGAGGCGTAATGGGAATGCCAATTTGAAGTTTGCTTGGTATGGAACTTCTGGCAGGCAAGAGGTGGGAGAGATCACTTCACACGGCTTTAGTCATTGTGGCAAATCACAGAATAATAATAAGCTTTATGGTTGTGGACTCTATCTTTCTCCAGATGATTCTCCTCTCGACAGGTACGCAATTCTTTTCCCTCTCGCGTCCCTTTTCATGCTCATCAGTTTGTTATTATGGTCATGTCGGTGTTTATGCTAAAATATCGTATTTGTTCGGTAGTGTGAAGAGCTGTGCTGTTGACAAAGACGGTATGCGGCACTTGTTACTATGCCGTGTTATTCTGGGGAGAACAGAGCTTGTGCATCCTGGTTCTGAGCAATGCCATCCCAGTTATGAGGATTACGATTCAGGGGCGGACAATCTTTCAGCTCCTACCAAGTATGTGGTCTGGTGTAGTAGGATGAACACCCATGTCTTGCCGGAATATGTTATAAGTTTCAGAATACCTGAAGGTTTGTGAAAATCATTGTGTGCAGAGTTATTTGTATTTCAGAAGATGGATGCATTTCTAAATTTGCTTATGTGATCGCTATTTCAGGGTCTGTGAAGACCGGGGGGCCCTTGAGAAGACCATCTTCCCCTTGGATGCCATTTCCAACTCTAATTTCTGTGCTTTCCAAGTTCTTGCCTCCAGCTGATATCGCCTTGATATCAAAGTACCATAAAGATCACAGAGTAAGTGATTCTGGATTAACTGTGGGATCACAAGACAGTCATTTGTTTTGGTTTAGATGAAAACAAGGCATCCACTTGACGTGGGCCTCATGAGTGAGCTTCCTCTGCTTTGCAGGTGAAAAAGATTTCACGACATGATCTGATACAGAAAGTGAGACAAGTTGCAGGGGACAAGTTGTTGATCGGAGTAATAAAGTCATTCAGAGACAAGGTACACTAATAGGATGATATGGGGTTATGAATTGGATTGATATCATATCATAATGGAGAGTGCAAAAATAGGAAGCTATATATTGTGGGGCATGGTGTGGTATGAAACGTTGCCTTAAGCAGCAAGTCTGAGCTCTTGACATCGTGGGTCACGTGTGTCATTTATTGATAATTGATATTTGTTAAACATAATACTGAAGAATGAGAGTAACGTGTGATTTTGGTGGTTGCAGGGAGCAGCAGCAAAGAAGGTCAAAGAATGAGCCACTGTAGATTGAAGCAGATCTTTGACATGCGAGAGACGGCTGGCATGGCGGTTTAGAGTAATAGTGCTAATAATAATAATGTGATACCTGACCTTGGAGGCAGGCATTTGGGATGCGTGAAGGAATGGCCTTTTTGCCTTTATACAGTTGCCTTATGATATCAGCATTTGCAAGTTGAGGATTCACCCTTTTTTTTTTTTTTTGGGATAACAAGTTGGAGGGCTGCGTTTGCCTGGGGTATTAAATGAACGGTTCACAATTGTACATGTACATGTTTTGCTTTCTTTCTTGGTCAACAAAATTATGCCTTATCGTATAATTCATTCTGTAAGCGTAGTTAGTAGTTTGGTATCTACGCGCAATCGTTGGTTGGATATGAGTTTGCAGTTTTTGGGCTTTACACCACGCTAAGGCCCAACACGCATGGGCTTTTGGAAACCCTCCCGAAGGAATCACCGTTAAAGAAATAAATGATGAAGGAAAAAAACAGTTAATGATATTACCAAAAAAAAAAAGTTAATGATATACCAAAAAACAAAATGTTCGGCGCATACCTGTTGATGATATACCTGCTTCTATAACCAAAGCTGCTTCATGAATGACCAATCCAACAGGCGCGAGTCCCAGTGGAAGAGCAATAACTGTTTAAGGTATGAGGACTCTTGAGTTTGAGTCCACGTAGATGAGAAGAATGCCTTTGAAAAATTATTTTTAATTGAGTCTAACAATATTTAAATATAACCCAATTATATAATTATATAAAAAAATAAAGGATAATAATACCTTCCAAACACTTGGGAGTAAATCTTGATTTAACTTATCATGAGCCGAGAAATTATGAATTTAAATCCTCATGGCCGACTTAATTGGTTGATTTTGGGGCCCCTTCAATCATTGGGCTCTTGTGGCCGCCACTGGCCATAATAAAGGAGGTGGATGCTGTTTTGTTTTTCGAAGAAAAAAAAAACAAAGTGTATCATTCGTCATTTCTCAATCAATTTTCAAATTACAGATTGCTCGTGATTGCTCTTATACACAGATTATTTGGAGGAAGCTTGTGGATCAATGGTATCATCCTCTTTTTTTTATTGCTAATTTAGAAGTTTGGATTGATATCAACCTCGAGGAAATTGGGTGTCAAAACTAGTGATAATTGAAATCGTTTTTTTTTTTGGGGGGGGGAGGGGACGAGAGGGAGGGAGAGTTTCACGATTTGGAAATTATGGAATTGGAGGAATAGTTGTGTGTTCAATTCTAATTTTCAAAAGCCATCTGATCCTCTTCTTGGGATTATGTCTGGCTGGAAATCTTATGTTGGATATGATGACATGAAGGATCTGAACAGCTCTGTTCTCGGCAATCGATGGAAACATCCACCTGGAGATAGGGTCAAGTTTAATGTCGTTGAAAACTGGTTGTGTTGGTGTAAGGCACCATAAAGGCCATTGGATCATAAAGTTCTGTCACAATTTGGGCTCTTGCAATGCTTTTAAAGCGGAGGAATGGACTGTATTGAAGGGTCTTCAGTTTATTTGGGATTTCAATCTTAAAAAAGTTTTGATAGAATCTGATTCTTTAAATCTGATAGTGCAGAGTAATAAGGAAAACAATAGTAGCAATGCATGCAGTCTAGTTTTCTAGAATATCAACATGCTTTAATGAAAGTGGCAAATGAAGATTCAACATGTGGATAGAGAATTCTATCAGTTGGCAGATAAATTTGCTAAAAAAGAAATTTCTTACTCTTCTTTATTGGAGGTTGCTCTTGATTTCTTGAGCGTTTGAGAATTTAGAATTTCAATCTCCAACTATGAAATTTTATTTCAAACTGCTAGGCTTAGTCCTCTTTTTCACTAGAAAGGAAAAAAAAAATTGTCCTCAAATATTGTAATGATGATTCAAAATGTGGTTCATTTGAAATATTAATTTCCTCTAACAATTTTTGAATGAATTTTTCCCATTAAAAAAATAAAGAATATAAAAACCTTTAAAATGATTGGAAGTGAATTGTGGTTAAACTCTGAGATTTATGTAGAGATAATTTTTTATCAATAGCCGATTTTTTAAATTTTACACCCACATTGAATACGCGTAATGTTTGGAGGAGCTATTTGGCCAGAAGTAAAATTCTAAGGAATTGATTTGTTTTGTTGAGTAAATAAAAGATCAAATCATCATTTCCTATTTGCTGGCAAAATAAAAAGAAAAACATCATTTCCCAACCGATAGAAGTGAAGGAAAAGAAAGGTTCGAGCAATTTAACAGAGAAATCATGATACAGAAATTATTTATGTTAATATTAAAGTTTGAGAGATCACGTTAGTAACAAATTAAAGTCAATAAATTATTTGCAAACAAAGCAAATCTTAAGAGAGGTCTCATGCCATTCAACTCTCTCTCTCTCCACACCCCACTCCAAAAAAAAAAAAAGGTGCTCCTTTACTTTTGCGGGCTTAAAGGAGTCGGGCTGACGGGCTTGCTTTTGGAGTGGGTACTGGAAATCAGGCTTGGACCTTCTTTACTGATTGGAGCTGCTTTCTTTTTACATTTTTTGGAATTCTAAACCCATATGAGCAATGAAAGTTGTACGACTAATAACAGTCAAATATAGCAGAAGGAGTTAGTTTTTCAATACATGATGAATCAATCTTTAAATTTTTTTTGAGAGAGGTAACTACATTTAATATCTATCAGTATCTTGAATAAGATTGCTTTTAATAAATACAAAATACATATAGGTAGCCCCAAAAAAAAAAAACTGTGAAGTTGCATGCTAAGTATTGGTGAATTAATCCTAATGATGAGAGGATGGATGTGTATAAAATAATAACGGGGGAGGCTTGAAGCTCAAGTAATTTAAAATAAAGAAAAGTATGAGAGAATTGGAATAGAATAAGTGGAGGAATGGAGTTGGCAGAATGATGGGAAAAAGGTGGGGTTTTACTTAAGAGCCAAGTTCAATCAAAACGCCAATAAACACACGAGGAATGGCCAATGGCAAAGCTTAGATCTTTTGGTTTGATATCATTTGACATTGATTGCATTTTGAGGAATTGTTATGTTATCGGAATGCGGCGCCCTCCCTCGCCTCTCCTTCAAGTAACTTCATTATTTTGACTTGCTACCTATTCAACTTCCTCATTTTATTACCCCATCTTTGCCTCCCATCATGTTCATACATGTAGAGTATACGTCACTTACACTCGTATTTTTTTTATTATCTTTAATTTATTTGGTTTGATTACCACATGATATTAATGTTTTTATATATGTTTATCGAGTTATATAATTGACTAAACAAGTAACTTGTCACATTAATTTTACAAGTAACGTTAATTTTATAAGTAATATAGTTGAAAAATTAAGAAATTAACAAGTCTTGTTAAGAATTTAATAAATAATATAGTTGAGTTTTTGAGTTAAGGAATTAAAGAGTGAAAAGTAAAAAAAAAATTACCAAGTCTTTTTAAGGAATTAGTAAGTCTCAATTTTAAGAGTTCAAGAATTGACAAATTTTGTAAAGGAATTAATAAGTAAAGTTAATAAATTAACAAGTAATATAATTAAATTTACGAGTTAAGAAATTATTAAATAAAGTTAAAAAAATTATCAAGTCTTGTTAAGAAATTAACAAATAATGTAATTGAGTTTACGAGTTAAATGGAGTTAAAAATTTAACAAGTTTTATTGAGAATTTAAAAAGTAATATAATTGAATTTCCAAGTTAAGAATTTAATAATTCTTGTCACAAAATTAACAAATAAAGTTAAGGAATTAATAAATCTTATTATGAAATTAACAATTGAAGTTAAGGAAAACTCATCACATTTGCAATGTCATGTAACATTTTTAGCAAGTAACATAAAACAAGAAATAAGTCATGTAACATTAAGAACAAGTAACATTTATATTCTTCACAAAAAAATTTATGCCAGTACTTGTGCAAATATATTATCAAGTACCTTTATAAACTTACATATAAAATATACAACCATGAGACAGCAACCCACTATGCAATTTTTTTTTGGGTTGTATGTATGGCATAAGAGCTGCTTCCCCGACCAATCAAAAAAATATAAAGAGAATATTTAGTTCAACTACCTTATCAACATTGAATATGTTACAAATTTTTACAACTACAATTATTATATTTACAATATAATATTAAAGATTTCACAACACGACATATAATTGTTTTGGACATCACAACTTAATACTATGAATGTTAGAACTCTCACCCAGCCATCTATTTTGTAATTTTAATATCGAAGGTTGCAAAAAAATTTGCATAAGCAAAAGCCCAATCTGATAGAGCCAAATAGGATGAAGACAAAATTGCCTCCAATTTTAGTTCTCGAACTGGCAGGCACAATCGTTTTAGAAATACAATACCTTCCAGAAATGAAAACTTCAGAGGCAGTCAGAATGCGGGAGGGGACAAAGTAGGTGACTCGAAGAAGTCTCAGATGATGGGAGGTTGTCAAGAAGATTCCTCAAGCAATCACCTTCTACTTCTGCAAAATCGCCTCCAACGATGTCGAAAGTTAACGAGAGCTTATTCTTTCTGTTCAAACATTTGGGCTTTTTGGTCCTTTTCTAAAGAAAGATAATTTCAGTTGGGTGCTGATACACTGTAATGTATTTTCAGAGCTTATTCAGTCTGATTGGAAAGTAATTTTCTACTGTGGCCCCCAGCTGAAATTCTTCCTAAAATATATCTCAAATTATTATTCAGCCCATACATCGGGAAAAGGGGAAAAATAAATAATGAGCATATTGCGCTATTCCTTTGCTAACATCTACTTTTTTTTTTTTTTTGAGCAAATTTGCTAACATCTACTTAAATAGATATTTTATAGGAACGAAATTTAAATTTTTTTTCCCTCCATATTTTTTTTATACTAAAAAAATTTTAATAAGTTGGCTCAGAAATTCACTAAGTCAAGCCATATCTCAAAACTCAAACAACATTTACCAATTACCAATTAATAGAATTTTTATATTAATTATGAAATTTTAAATCCATGTGTTTGTATTTTATAGGTTACGGTCAAATTTTGATAAAAATTTTTTTCAAAATGATTACAAATATCAATTGAAACAGTTAAAAATATAAATCTATCCAATTTTATCTTGATAGTTGTATTCGAAACTTAATATTTTATCTGTCATTGAAATTTTTAAATTTATTATTATTTAAATTAATATTTCAAATTCATTCTTCAGAAAGTGAATTAAAATTTTGAAACTCAACTGTGAATATGTGATTCTCCATGAAAATAACCAATATATTAAATTTACGTGAGAATTATGACTCTTATTTTTTTAATACTACAATTTTTTCTTAATTTCTTTTTAACTGTATTGTTAACAGTAAAAGCAGTAATTTTAGTAGTCAAACCAGACATCAATAACCAGCAAAAGTTGCATTGAAAAAATAACAAAGAAGTTATGGCTGTGTCTGCCGGTTTGATTGCCAGTAGACGCCGGCCCTTACCCTAACCCTATTATAGACGGCAGCACACCCCTCAATTGTGGCCGTCAATAACCCATCACCCACTTTCATTCCCCGTAGTAATTATGTGAAATAAAATAATAGTGAAAAAAGTATTTGAATGGTTTATTTATTAATTAGTACTATTATTTTAATAATTCCATCATCATATCATATAAAAATCAAAACCTGTGAACCCTTGGAGTCACATTAATCTTTTTTTTTTTAAAGTAAATTTTCCTAGAGAATTACTCCTCACAAAGTCAAAATGGATCATATATCACAACCTGTAAAGACCTTCCTTCATAAATCTAGGAACAGTAGATGGCCTATGAAATTGAATCCATGTTTTTATTGACCAAAAATTTAAATGAGTTGAATTTTAAAATTTATTAAAGTAAAACCATGCTTTTTAAATTTAAAAATTTTCCATCAGAACTTCATGTTGGCAATGAAATTTAACTCTACAACTATAAAATTACGGAGAAAATCCTTTTGAGAAAATGAAATTCATATTGAATTGCAAGCAGTAACTTGGGAGGAGGGGCCAGACTTCATTAATGAGGGGTGGATCCAACGGAAGGCCACCATCAATCTGCATCACCGATTGAAGCAATCGGGCCCCACGATTTCATCTCAGCCATTCCCTCCGAGCAAAAGCACCATATATTAACCTTCCGGAAGGGATCGCATTCCACGCGTCGCTCTCCCTTTTCCTCTGCCGTCTCATTTCGTTATACGTGTCGACCAAGCCACCTAATCACACTCTTTCACATCATCCAATTCCCCCCTTAACCGTTGCTCCTCTTTCATTGCCCTCACCCTCACCAAACTCTGCGCCTCCCTTACCCAATTAATCTCCTCCTTCTCAACCTTTGCAAGCGTATAATACACTCGCATCTATACCCATATTTTATTACACACACGCGCACACACACAGAAATAGCCAAGAAAACAGGCAAAAAGTTAGACCAAAAAAAAATTATATATATATATATATATCAGCGTCTCTCACCCTCCTCTGTATCCCATTCTTCCTTGTCCTTCTCTGTAGCTCCACTTCATCAATCAATAATTTCTGTCTCTCATCTCACCGGATTGGATTTTGAAGTGAAGCGGAGGAATAAAGTGGGTGTGTATGATATCTGGTTCATTTAATGGAAGCCATGGCTTCTCAGTTATCGTCTTCTTCTCCCAGTTTCAATAGCTACTCTTCTGAGACTCTCGCTGACATTGCCGCCAGAGTTTTGAATGAGTTTCGGAGTGACCCACGCTCCGTCTCCGACCCAATTTTCGACTCATGGGAATCTCTCGATTCCACCCAATCTCACGGTGGTTCTCTCAACGATCAAGACCCGGACGACGACGACGACGGGGAGTTTGAGTTCTCTTTGGTTTGTACAGACCCGAACTCCTCGCCGGTATCCGCTGATGATATCTTCTGCAATGGCCAGATCAAGCCCATGTACCCAATCTTGGACACCAATTTTCTGTTCAGCCATCCTCACTTCGCTCCGTCAAACGAAGTCGTTGTCGCCGGCGCTTCCGTTTCTCCAATTTCCGCACCAAATGAAACGGTGCCGGTTCCTCGCCGACGTCGACCTCCTCTGAGGAAGCTCATGTTCGAGGAGCGAGAAACATGGTCGTGTCCGTCTTCCGCCTCCGATGCGGATCAACGTGACGTCGGAGGCGTCCCTCCGGAGACCTATTGCGTGTGGAGTCAGAAATCAGGATCGGCAGGAAGGACGAGCAAGAAAAGCAGATCGACGGAACTATCGTCATCATCGAAGAGATGGAGGCTGAGGGACCTGCTTCTTAATAGAAGCGGAAGCCAGCGTGGTGGAAGGAAGGAAGCCATGTTGCTTGTGAGTCAGAGCAAGAGGAGCAGCAAAGTGGCTCAGGAGGTGTCGAAGCCAATAGCCGGCGCCGGAGCCGAACACCAAGCGTCGGATTACGTGAGAAAGAGTACGGCAATTGAAGATGAGCAAACGAAGAAGTCGTTCTTGCCTTATAGGCAAGAACTGGTAGGGATGTTTAGTAATGTGAATGGGATTGGGAGGCATTTGCATCCATTCTGAATTTCTGAAGCTGAAAAATTGTGTCAAATTTCTACGTTAATCGTTCTCCAAATTAAACTAATTACCGATTAGGCTGGACTCTGTGTAGACTGAGATGAGATCAGATGATCCAATTGTGCATGATTTTAGTTTCATGATTCTACCCGTTTTTTTTTTTTCTTTTTCCTTCTCTAATTATATCATAAACACATTGTGAATCTACAGATACGAATCAATGGATAACGAAATCAATGGATAAAAAATTGCATTGGAAGGGGAGGGAACCAATTCCGGCAACCCAAAAAGTTAAAAAAAGTTTAGCGAATCAACAAAAGGTGCAGATAAAATTCAATATCACTTATTTTTTAATATCAATTAATTGACTAATTGATCATTCAGTATTAATATTTTTGTTAACAGTATTTAACATTTAATAAACATCTTGATATGTGGGAATACCCACTCTTCATAAATACCAAGAAGAATAAGGTTGGATTCTCAAACTTTATAGCTTTATGTAATACATTATCCAAAAATGAGTCAATATAAATTGAAAAAAAATATCTAATATAATAAATATAGAAGCTTCTTTAGCATAGGTAATGTTAGACTTTTCAGAGATGCACAAGGCTTACTCTAATTATGTACCCCCTCGGTCACTCTCAAATATATATATAAATAGGATTTGTTTTGTTTGATGCGTTACCTTTTTTCTTTTTTTCAATTTTAACTCTAATTATATGGATCTTTCACATACACAAGAAAGTCGATTTCCTAACTGTGAAGAAGACTTGTAATGAGGAAAATAAACCATCTAGTATGGGTAAATGTTGGGGGGGGGGAAATCGTGTTTTGGGACAAAATTAATGAAGAAAACTAACTTCAACATAAATTAGTTAGCATGTTTTATGTTAGATATTGGAGGGAATATAGATTAATTGATAATGTTAACATCACAAAACGCATTTAGAATTTGTAACTCCAAATTAAAATCTAAATATGTTGAAAGAAGCTGAAGCCATGTCTGCGTATATTCAATACTAATATTAATAGTTGAATAAATAAATAATAGGAACATGAAATGAAAGTATAGAATGAATTAAAAATATTAATATCTTAAACTTGAATTTAAACGGTACTATATTTTCAAGTTTCTGAGCTGTTTTGAGACATTTTAAGTAAAATACGATAAATGTATGCAAGGCGTGCAAAACCAATATGCTACATGAATATATATACTTCTTCTTATCGTCTTCTTGAGAAGTATCCTTCCAATTCCGAGTAATATATAAGTTCATTTTCAGGGGAATCTTGTGGGTCTCACACGGCATGGCCCTTTTGTAGAAATGTCTATAAATTTGTGCCGTACAAGATTATTTTTGAACCTTGGTTATGTGTTTAGTTATTTGACTTTATGGTTTAGAATAGCATTAATTATAGCATACATAGATCTTCCAAGAGCCAAATTTGCATCCTTGATAACGATCTAATTTTTCTTTCTTCATTAAATGATAAAGTCAGATGTTCTTTTTAATAATTATCTTGTTTGGGCTGGTTAGAATCACGTTTCTACATATCTTTTACATTTTTCTTGACGCATCTTTTACATTGGAATTTTGAATTAATTTGTTCGCATTTCAGTTTGAAGATTTCGTTGAGCCATCATACGTTGTTACGTCCAAAGTAATTTAAATATATATATATATATATATATTGAGCAGCTGACAATTCTAATATTTTAGTATATACATCCTATAAATGACAAAGACGAAATAGTATTTCGCCAGTATGCATGTCTGCAGCTTGAGGCAGAGGAAAGATAGAGAATTATGATATATATATATATATATTATAGGAAAAATCAATCTATAAGTCCTTATAATTTTACCTGATTTTAAATTAGATTATTGTAATTTATTTTATTTTAATCAAAATTTTATAGTTTGATCTATTAAATATGTTAGTCCCTAATTGTTAACATTCTTTAATTTTTTCTTTTAAAAAATCAAGGACTTCTATATATTTAATTAAAATATTATATAATTTTGGAATTAATTTCACAATTTTTATAATTCAAAATTTATATAGTTAGGTTATTTTTTAAATAAATTATATATATAGCATTTTTATAAAAAAATTAACAAAAATGTATGCATTAAATGAAAATTTTCTATACATTTTAAATTTATTTATTTAAAAAACTCAATCATTCATTAATAATTTTAACTTTCAGTGGCTAATATATTAATCAATCAAATTATGAGGATTAAATTAGAATAAAATAAACTACAGGACCTAATTTAAAAGTGAGGAAAACTAGAAGTACTTTTAAGTTAATTTTCCCTTTATTATGTTATTATGTGTTTACTATTGTTAATGTATTATTTACAAAAAAAATACAAAGATAATTTTCTTTAATTCTGCATCTAGTAATTTTATGTACACAAAACAATCAATATAAACTTCATTCTAAATATATTCAAAATAAAAAAACAAATTCAAGAGAAAATATTAGCACGTCTTTTTTTGAGGGGGGGGTTGTGCGTAAGTTAAACGAAAATGAATCTTCATATGCTAAAAATAAAAATACAAAAATAATTTAAAGAATACAGCTCTTTGTTATTATTTAAGATCGACGCTCTTACAATAATGACTACTCCTTTTGCGTAAAAGTGTAAGGTATTTTTAATTTTTTAATGTGTAATCATTGTTTTTTTTCAAAAGTGTCCTTATTAGTAATGACTTTATATTTATTGTCAGGTGTTTAACAGGAATAAATATGAAAATATAGAGTTAGTTGAAAAGTAGGTAATTATTTTATTGAGGAATAAAATTCAATTAAAAATATCTTACATTTTTTAACAAAGAGAGTATAACATAGTGTATATATTTAGACTTAGTTGTTGATTCTTCCAATAACATGACAAACAATATTAAACATATATAGGGTGAATTAGAACAAAGGAGGGTGGGTTGTCAAGTACTAAAAACAAATAAAGTGGACTTTGTGTCTAAACATGTTTAAAAATTGTTGAGCATCATGTTCTCCGTTTGTTGTTGTTGAAAAGTTGGAAAGCATTGAGGTGGAAAATACAAACAAATAAATTCATAATTTATGGTTACTGGGGAAGAGATGAATGGAGATTAAAGAGGCAGAGCAGGAGATCAGCAGCGTGGGTTGCTTCAGTTTAGCCCTACATTAAAACATTACATAATCTTGGTCTCCTCTTTCTGGCCATTGTATTTTAATTAGGACTACTTAATTTATGATGTCTTGTCCCTTGTGGATTTTTCCTAGAAATCCCAGTTTCTACATTCTCTGGAAACTTGGCATCAAGTTGGAAGTGAAAAGGGACCCGCACCACACTTTCGCTTTTGGAACGAGAAAGAAAATTCCTGCGCCAAGAGCCATCCGCCCCTTAGGCCCATGTCCTATTAATCTAATGGCATCAAGACACTTTCAAATAGAAAAAGTTGAGTTCGAATCAGATAAGATTGAGGCTAATAGTGGAGAGTGGTGTGTGAACTTTTCTGTAGGGGTGATTCAAAACAAAGGGTACATATGATACGCTTCTGCTCGTATGAAATATGTATCTTAAAAAACCGCAACTTATTTAACACACACTTGGCTCCGGCCCTTGACTTGCTAGACTAAAGAAGCCCTCAGAAGTGGAAAGGGTTTTGTGTTGTCAATCAAACTTGAACTTTTGGTCCCTTTCTGTTAATTGAGCAGCATAGCCCAATAATTATAAAAATTAGAACTTGATGATCTGAGAAATTGCAGACAAACTCAGCGTAAAACACGGTGCTGTCTTCCATTTTCCCGTTTCAAGTGCTAATGACAAGCTTGTCAATCCCACAATTAATTGGAAGTTTCTAAGATTAATTGCACAGTGAATAGTGACAAAACAAAGCACATACATGCAAATTACAAGGGACCCAGACTTTACAAGGGCAATGCGTGAGGATGTGGTTAAACATGATTGGTCCGCCATGGAATGAGAACTTCAGCATGGAATTTCGATGAACATTCCCATTTCCCAATCAGTAACATGTGGATGAGAAGATGGAGAGATTTGAGGCATAAAAGCATATTATGTTTGGAGGTGTGGCTAAGTGGAATGTCTTTTCGCATTCTCCTTTTTACTTTATTTGAGGATTGTTGTAGTTATCGTTTTTTATGAAAGCGAGCCTACTTTTCTATCTTATCTCAGATTCTTATCACTTCTTGTCAGTGCTATATTATATTAAAAGATGATAATAAAATTTTTTAATCACTCAAGTTTAGCTCTTGTATCAATTTGATAAATTTAATGTTTATTAATTTAATATCTTAAATTTGTTTTAACTATAAAGTTTGCCCTTTTAAAGAAGAGATAATATTATTAAAATTTGTTAACATACATAATGACATATTGGTGGTAGTTATAATATCCTATTTTTATTTAAAGAATAAATTGTGGGAATTTAGGATCTAAGTTAGGGATTATTATCATTTTAAGGTTTAATTGATGAATTTATTTGTGATTGAAGACAATTAAAGTTAGTTAATTACTTCCACATTTAATTTTAGACTAAATTGGACCTAGCTAGAATCATATAAAAGTGGTAATTAGATTTCAAAATAAGTATTATGTAAACTCCCTGAAGCTAAATAGCATTTAACTTCAAATCTTGGTAATCTAGGGTTTAACTTTCAAAGGATTACCAAATTATAAAGTTTATGAAAAGGAATTTTTCAAAATTCTTTCAAAGGAATCCCAATATAAACAATTCAAATCTCAAACATGCTTTAATAAGTATAAATCAGAGTTTTGAAAATAAAGTGAAAGTTTGAAACTTAATTGGGACCCAAATAATGAGTTTTAAAACTCAAAAATAGTTTTTATGCAAAAAATGACATGTGCGCCACGGCTTACGGCATGTGCATCGCGGCATGTCTTCTCTGTGTCGTGCGCTGCGACGTATTACATAAAATTTGATAGATCAGTGCTGTCATATGATAGCACAGGGTGTAAACT